CTCCACCTCCCCCAGCAGCTTCTCTCCTTGTGCGCCCTTCAGAGAGCTCCGCAGCTCACCTTCCACCTGCCAAACGGAACCCGCCAGCGTGGGGTGGAGGGAGCCTTTGGAAGTGTTGCCAGGACTCTCAGCAAATCACAGCACCCAGGCAGTGATGAAATGTGTTGCCAAGTATCATCTTGTTCTATGATGAGGGTCTAGTTCTTTCGTTTGAGCAACAAAGCCTCAAAAGGCAGTCATGGAGGAGCCCTTTCGTTTAAGCAACTCAGAGTGAGCCTCTAATTCAGCAGCGGAACGTTGGTAAAACTAGACAGGACTATCTTAGTGAGGTCGCCATAGCGCACTCCCAGCCAGATCGAGCATTGGCGGCAAGCAATATGGAACTCGCTGGTTCCCTTCACGAGCTCCTTTTTCATTTGCCTTGTCAAGGGGGCTGAGCCTTCACACCTATGTCGGCAGATTGCTGTCATTTGCGCTTTGCAGAAACTGGCTGGCAAAAGGAAAAACACCACACACTCACAGTGGGGGTCGCAAGGCTCCCAGGGCGTGAAGATGAAATAACAAACAACCGCCCGGGAAAGCTGCAAATGGAGCCCCAACGAATGGAGCCCGGATCGCCAACCTCCGCAGGGCTCTTGCGCAGCTGGCGCATGGCCGTGAGGACCTGCAGATGTCCCCAAGCCCCAAAGGACGAGTCTTGGGACCCAAGAAGGAGGAAATGAAGGAAACTGCCACCTACATTTCTCTAATGTTGAGAAAACTCCATCTTGGACAAAATCCATCTGAGACAAAACCAGGAAATGTGTGGTGGAAGCGTACTGACGTTCAGGGCACACTGTGGCGCGAAGATCGAGGCTCCGGTGCATGCCCGACCGTAACGACTTGCTTGGACGTCACTGAGGCTTGCGGATCTTTCCGGGGGTTCAAGTAGTACTTTCAGTATCAGGCACTCTGTCTTCTAGTGTCAGCAAACGATTCAGAACAAATGGGAAAGGGCAAAAAATGACGTCAAACATGATCGAACTTGGTGTCCCTTCTGTGAAAACACCTAGGCGACGAAACAAAGCCGGGCTTTACGATGCTCTGCACGTCTTTCCCTGAATTCCAGGCCGCTCTCTCGCGCTCTTTGCGTAAGTGTCGCCATGCTCCTTGACGGTGTCGCCCAAAAGCCAAAAGGCGACTTGAACCAGGGCTTGAAAGTTGTCCAAATCTAAAGACATGAACGTGAACAAATCATGAACATGAACACATGTCTTGTCCAGGATGCTCTCTTCCACAACGCTTTGAATTGGCAACTGCGCACGTGGGAGAATTCACACTTCCAACGCATGATTTACTGAAAACGGAAAATGCCCCTGCACAAAATCTCATTTGGCGCTATTGTGTTTGTGCGCTAAAGCGCTGCCTACTACGCGGCTTATCAAAGCAGTTCGTACTGCGATTTGCGCGATGGAACAATGTGGAGAGTCCTGGTACCTGGGTCCTGATGCCTGGGAGGCTTCCCCTTTAAATTCACATATAACTCAGAAAAGGAACCGCATCTCCGTTTAGAAGAAAAATATCCTCCTCGGGTTTGGATTTGGGATCCGTCCGCGCAAACCGTGCCGAGCTCGCCATGTAGAGCCCAGAGCCGCCCAGCTCGCCGTGGCCCTTCTTCACCTGTCTAAAAGGACCAACTTCACCCAGAAACACACCGGTCCCTTAAGGGAAGACGCAAAATAACCTGGGAACACACGCATGCAATGTAAGGTAACGGAACACAAGGTATCGTAACAGGATTTCTTCTAATGTCCAGCCCGCAGTCAAACAGCCCGTCTGCTCGCTCCAAGTATTCATATATACGCACATATATATATATATACAGAATTGGTGGCGCGTTCATGGCCCAAATCCCATCCCTAACCAAAAATCAAAATCACTGATACTTCGTCCCAGTTGACTCAACCGCACCCGTACTCAGAGCATATCCATCGCCTGCTGCCACTTGTTGAGAGTCTCTTTGGCATCGCGTGACGGGGCGTCCTGCGCAGGCGCTTTGCGATTGTGCGAACAGCAGCATAGTCTGCTGAACGAGGACTGTCGTCATGGTTCCCACGATTATATTTCCTAGTAAATTGGGGTAGTTGCAAGTTGCTTGTACCCGCAGTGGGCCTGCTGTGAATAGTTTTTCGTGTTTGCCATACTGGCCAACGGTGTGCAGGCACTCAAGTTATAAATAAGATGATAGATCTATCTGATTTCAGAATTAGTCTCCATAACAATCGTAACTGAGTAGCAGCACCATCCCCCGTTGTCCTCGTGTCACCCCAACCCCCGCCGCCCCGCAAGTGCCCGCCCGCCTCGTAGCTGCCAATCTTCTTGGGCTTCTTGGGCCTTGAGTCGCTGTCAAACACAAGGCAGGGGAAAAACATAGTAGGGGTCTTCATGTGGCTTGTCGGAACAAATGGTCTTCATAGGGGTTCAAAAAATCCACAAGAGGCTAATCAAGGGTTGCCAGATCTTATGCTTCCAGAGTTGGAGTCATGCTTTGCTGCGATACTCTCCCTTCGCAGTGGAAAAACTTCCAACAAAAGAAGGACGAGAACATCCCGCGCTGGCTTGAAGACGGTGCGACAAAACCTGCCTTCAGGTTACCCGTCACCTCTGCATCCACCCAAACAAAGTGACTCATGGGTGTCTTTCAAAGAGGAAAGCCTGTTTGGTTGAAAAGAAGGGGAACCATGTCCACCATGTCCACAAGAGGGCTAAAAAAACAGCCCCCAAGCGGGGCACTTCATGTTGGCACATCCTACAGCCCAAAAAACGTCGCACATCCACATCCAGTTCATTTCGGCACGTCCAATGCATTGGCTCGGTCTGGAAGCAATTTGGGGTGCGACCATCAGCCCCTGGGCTGCCGGGCCCTTGAGGCAGGCCCACCACCCTGGGCACAAGCTGACTAGGCTCAGAAGGGCTTGGAATAGAATAGCAAAGCGAGTGGTTGGAGAATTACATTTAAAACTGTACATGGATATTCATGTGTATATAGATACATATATATATATATATATATATATATATATGCTACCCCCCCCCCCTCCCAAAAAACAGGTTTTGAACCTGGACAATTGCCAAAATCACTGGAAAAATGCTACTTTTGAGAAACATGTGTATTTCCGCCTCTGCGAAACGCATATTTTGCAAGTTCAAGCAGTAAAAATTGGCAAGTTCAATTAGTTAGTCAAAAAACAGTCAGCAAGTCAACTAAATAGTCAGTTAACTAGTTGTAATGAATTAGCTCTAAACCCAGTTAGCTAGTTAATTGGCTAATCAGTTAGTTATCTATTTAGCTGCCTAGTTAGTTAGATAATACTGAAGATATTCCCCTAGTATTCCCTTCCTTTGCTAGTGAACTATTTGGGGAACACTAGGGGGGTGGTGAGGAAACACTGGGGGTATACCAAGAGAATACTAAAGGAATACTAGGGCAATACTAGGGGAATACTAGGGCAATACTAGGTACATACTCAGGGAATACTAGGGCCATATTAAAGGTGAATACTCGGAGAATACTTGGGAATACTGAGGGGGTGGGAGGGGGGGGTACCATATATATATATATATATATATACATATATATATATATAGTAAACACATGATGTTATCCATACAACTAACTACACATGAATCTTTATATATATATATATATAATGGGCAAGAGGTCCTTCCCTTTGGGGCAGTTGCTTGGAGGTTGCGGAAGCCATTTTGGATTGGTTTCGTCGAGCGGCGCCACGTAGATGAGGGCAGCGACCGCAAACATGGCAAGCTCCATCCACACGAGCGACACGGCCTGCAGACACATGTGCGAGTCGCCGAGTCTTCAGATTCCAGGTGGCTAGTTCGAGTTGGGATTTCGTGCACAACACTTGTCGGAAACCTTCTTCTTTCACCATTCTCCAAATGAACCAAGCAGAGGTTACAACTGGTGCGAAGCCCTAGAGAACGAAGGCATGGCGATCGAGTCATCCCCACAAATCCTAAAACGGCCCCCCTCACTTATACTTCTTTGATTCGGTCTGGTGCATCCACAGCCCCTTGCGATCCTCCCAGTACCTGCGCCCCCGTCCCCACCAAGAAAGATCAAACCGCCTGGGCTTGTCCCAAAGTGCTCCCGAGTCCATGCCTCGAAGGCAGCAGACATCACTGATTCGAGGGCCATCTTTCTTAGTAGCTCCTGGCGCGGATGTCGCGTCCCACAAAAGAAGCTTGGCCTCAAGTCCAAGGGAACCCATCCCTTCCATGCTACATTGTGCTCGCACAGAGATAAAGCGTAGCATTACAATGATGTTCTTGGTGAATCAAGCTTTCCGCTGAAAAAGAAAGATCACCAAAAAGCAGCCTGAGGGGTGTGCTTCTTCTTTCTCCCCGACGAGTAACCACTGTGCTGTGGCACCTTGCAACATGTGCAGTTCCCAAATTGGGAGCTATGCAGCATGGTTCTTGATTGGTTTCAGCCCATGAACTGAGCACAATTCGAGCTGAAGACAGGCCAACCAAGCGCCCCTTCCAGACGTGTCCACTACGATGCGAATCCTCGTCACCTTTCAAAATGTGGAGCAGGTTGCATTCTGACAAGTTTGCACTGCACACATTGTAGGATTGAACAAGAAAGGTGAAGCCACCCTCCAAGTCCCCGAGCGCGGGTTCTACAAACTCTATCCAGATGGCTGATCCGTGCCCTGTGACGTCAAGCTGAAAGCTAATTGAACAGGTTCACTGCGAGAGACGAGGCAAGCTCCACAAGCTAGACGGGATAGCCAGTGGAACCGAAGCGTGACGGGCTCGCAAAGCGTACAAAGCGGGCTCGAATCCACATGTCCCGGGCTCCTTCCAAAAGCTTGTCTGGAAGGTCGGGAAGAGTTTTTCCCACCTCAGACGTTGCCAGCGCCCTGAACGAAGTCAATCACTGAAAACCTGCAAGGCATGAGCTTTTGATTATGAATCTCCTGTCACTTCGCAGCTCAACCATTGTCCAGTCAATTCAAGCAAGAAATCCAAAGGATTGAAGTTTCCTTGCAACGCCACGAATTGCGGGCGCTCCGCCGAAACCGAAAGCCCTCCCTACTGCCAGTCTCAGAGCCCTGAGTTCCTGCCGAGAGGCGCGGCAAAGCGCAAGAACTTCAATGGGGCTTCAATCAGAGCCTCAGCTTGGAACCAGCGGGCCAAAGTCATACTCCCGAAAGCAAAAGAAACCCTTGACCCTTGAGGAATCTCCCTCTCCTTCTGGCCAAAGCTAATTGATCGCTCACCTCAGCCAATCGTCTTGGCACACGACTTCCAGCTCTTGCTGCCAGGGCACTGATCGCAGCACCGAGGCTTGAAATTGGCTTGGGCCAAAACGGTTGCCGAAGCCGGGGACTCGAAACAGGTCCCTGTTTCTGCTCGCTGCAAGTGGGGCAATGGACGTCACCAGTCCTTCCTGGAAGTTCCATTTGATGGGTTGATCCTGCTCGCGATTCATTTTTGCAAACACCGGAGTCAAACAGTACTGCTGTGCCCAATGTAGGCACCCGGAATAAGCCCCAGGCCTATCCGAAACAGACCCGTTCGCTGATTCCCAGACCTCGTTCGTTGTCTTCTGCACAGTGGCGCAATTTAGAACGGACCCAGAAACCTCCGAAGCCAACCAGAGCCGCCCCCCCCCCCCCCCGCACAAGCCACAAAGAAACCGCCATTCCCGGCCACAAAAATGGTGGCGACTCCGCCAGACGGACCCGAGCTGTGTCCCACGCCAAGCCGGGCAGGCGCCGTGGTTGGGTTCCACTGGACCTTGGCGCTACGCGGCTAAAAACTGCGAATGTGCAATGCTGTCTCCAGGAAATGCGACCGAACTGTCCAAGTATTTGTTTGTTTCCAGATCTTGAGAAATGCAAATCCTCGTGCATGTTGGCTTTTCAAAAACTGGGGGCCCACGTTTAGATGCATGGCTGAACCTTGGGAAGGGTTTGAGCTGTCTTGGTGCTTCCGGCTGGGCTGGAATCTCACACTACAATTGGGACTGAACAAATTACGAACCGCCAAGTCTTTGACCCTTTGGGAGCAGACCAACCAAGGCCCATTTCACCGTATCATCTCAGCCTGAATATTCAAAAAAACGACTACCCCTCAACCTTTCTCACATTTCAAATCTCTCCTGCTGACTTCCGCGTGGCTTGAATACATGCTATGAACAACATGCAATCAACCTTCCGATCTGCGTAATTTGTGACAAGCTCAAACGAGCTCACCTATCATTAATGATCCTTTATTGGTGATCGCTTGATTGGAATTCGGGCCGTTCTTTGCAACCCTCTTGGTGCCAATCGCAGAGATCTTCATCGTGTCTCATCTGCGGGAATGTGGGAATAAATCTATGCCTGTCACAAGTGAATCCGCAAATGATTGTAGTGGGTACTCACATATTCCCTGGGTCTCTCTTACGTCCCCAGCATCAAAGCGAGAAACTTACTTTACGTCCAAAAAGGATGTTGAAATCCAGGGACCCGAAACTCGCACGGCCTGGGCCGCTGACCAGCTCGTCGATCTGCTCCGAGACCCTGGACCTCTCTGCTTCGGTGGCCGCGAAGCCGCGGTCCAGGGACTTCAGGCTCTGGCCCGGGAGTTTCGCTTCGGGATATCTGGGAAGGGTGCAGAGTTAGTGGTATTTCTGTGTTTCAACAAGGCAAGCTAATTTTTCCAGTCGTGGCTGCCAGCTGGAAGCAAAGAGCTCAGGGGAACAGCGCAAACCTTTTCTAAGACATAGACGTGTCCAAAGGAAGTGACAAAACAATAATGAAACTTATGATCCGCTTGCCATCTGAAAAGGTCGGCTCCGTGCAAAGTCCAAAGTCAATGGCTCAGCCCGATTGACTGAACTGCAGAGTTTCCGGAGCAAAGTTGCTGCAGAGTTCCTGCTGTATTTTGAGAGGGCTCAATCTCCAGTTGCTGACCAGGACCGGAGAACTGTTGGAGCCTCCTGGAACTGTGAAGAAAGAAGTCTGGGTTTTGCAGAAAATTGGACAGTCATGTGCCTTCCGGGTGGTCTTGGTAGGCAGCGCAACGCCCACCACGGTCCACGGGCTGTGGACTGTGGCACATGCCACGGTCAAAATGGCCATGGCAAGAAGTTTCAAGGTCGCCACAACTCCTCCAGAAAGCTATCTTGAAGCAGATAAAGATAATCTGAATGTGTTCTCAGTTCCCGCGGTCTTCCCCAACGAAACTGGATTACGTAGACTGACGCACTCCAATGGTACATGACATCCAAAGGAAGAAAGTACCACACAAAAAGGGGTCCACAATCTAAGCACACACCCATCTTAAAGTCTCTCAGCCTGCCTCCAGCAGCGCTTCCT